CCACAGGCGCGTCACCAGAGGAACCGATCGCCTCAGAGGCCACCTGAGTAGCCTCCCTGAGTGCCGAGCCTTTGCCGTGAGGCTTAGTGCTCTTGGCTTGCGCCTTACCGGCCGCAGCCCTGGAGCGTGTCTTAGCACCGCTCTTTGCTGTGCCACGAGGCATGGTAACGGTCGAAGTGGAGACCTAGACGAAGAGCGCACAGATTGCTGCTCGAGACTCTAACTGAGAAGTGAGCCTCCGCCGCGCTCGCGCGGCCAAGTCGATGGTTTTCGATTTTGAGAATGAGAGTTTGTGACGAACACCTCTTCATCCTGATTGGTCGGTAAACCGAACCTAAGTGGGGGAGGATGTAACGGGGTACGTATCCCTAAGTGTACCCCTAGTTACATGAAGTATGACACTTCACACTTCAGGGGTATGACACGTCATACTTCGGGATATTTGGTACTAAGTACCAAGGTCGTTCAAAGCCAGCCATTAGTTAACGGCATTGCATTTCTATAGGTGACTTATAGTTTGTATTAAACCCAAGCTTTATCTACCTATAAATATACTCAGTTTACATTCTACCTAAATTAGGTCACTTCGATCTCTTTTGAATAAAGAGGGGACCTGTGAACTGCCGTTCACTGAGATTTTGTATACTCTCGGAAGATAACTTCCTCTAGCGCAAGGTGCTGTGTGACCCCGTCACAATCGCCGTCACGACACGCGCTCCATGAGCCGCCCCATCGACAAGGGTAACACACCGAGCTCGCCGGAGCCGTGTACGCCGCCCAGAGCCGCCGACGATCTGTTTGAAGAGCTCGAAGAGGAGCAGATAGATTATGATGATCTCATGGACAATGAGTCACACTCTAGCCCAGCCTCCCCGAGACCTAACACCAGCGACCCCCACTCGCCACAACAGCGTGTGCTTCGAGCTTCAAAGCCGTTCCCAGACCGTGACGACACCGTGCGCGCCTTGCGCGATGCTTCGCTCCTACCGTCTCAAAATGAAGAGACGGATCTTTTCGATTCGGGCGTTATCACCAATGACTTGAAAATGGCTCAAAGTCAACAGATATACGCACGGCCGCGCCCTCCCCAGTCCTTTCGACCCGTGGCTCGACCAATTACGAGCCCTTCACGTCGCGACTATGGCTTTGAGCCCCGTGATCCTACAGTGCACCAGTGTTTAGACACGTATGTCTGTGGACCGGCGGCCTCTACCGCAGATGAGGGAGTGCGACGTCACCAGCTCCGTGAGCGTTTCCTGACTCCTCAAGTCACCACTCCCCAGGAGTATCGGGAGCGCCTTCGGCTCCAGCTGAACCAACCGTCGGTTCTAGCCATACACACAGTCCCTGTGGTTCTGAGTCCAGGAGAGTCTTCGGTCGCTCACG